GTGTAGTTGATTCAGGAGTAATATGTAGCATGTTTGTTCAGTAATGTGTAGTTGATTCAGGAGTAATATGTTCCTGGAAAGGACATTTTATATTTATTTTGTGTACTGCCAGTTTTATACGAGATAGTTATAGTTTCCAGTGGTTTCTCGTCATTTTTGACGGGCTTTTACGATGGTTGTAATATAACATTTGATCGATGAAATAATTATAAACGTTTGTTGATAACACAAAGAAACACTAATAACAAAAAAAATATTTAAGTTGATAATGATAAGAATAACTTTAAAAGAACATTTGATAATACGTGATCTTTATGAAGTATAAGATATCAAAACGCTCAGCAAATGACGAGAAAATAAACCACTAAACACAAGGTGAAACAAATATGGTTGTTACAAATCACGATTATTAATGTGTCACTGTCATTCAAATTAAATCCTCCAGAGGGCTCATATTAACCTACATAACAGAATATGAGGCAGTAAACGTTTATCTATCGTTCAGACACGTAGATATCCTAAAATATTAATAAAAAGAGGACCGGTTTATCATCACAATGTTTTGCTGACTTACTGGTAAACTTTCAACTGTCTTATATATTCTGTAGCCTAGCGTAAAGACCAAGTACGCACAATGTACCTTCTTTAAAGTCTCACTGAATACCCGTTCCTTCTATTCGTCACGTTTAGTCCCTGACCACAGTTCTTGAATTAATCCTTTCACCAAGCTACCTGGCCGATTTGTTAGGAAGTTGCAGTTCGTTATTCGATGCACACAAGAATACATTTAAACTGCCACTACCAGTGACCTGTGAGTTTCTAGAAAGACTTGCCTTTATTTATCTCAACCACACGAAGATTGGTAATAACAGGATACAAAAGTAGACAGTTGGATTAGAACTGTTTTATTCTACTCTTGGCCTTTTGACTTCTGTGATAACTTGATTAATGGAATAAACAAAATTAATTACAGGAGAGAATCAGAGACCAAGGTAACATCCAAGCAAAGCCCCCTTTAACACTTCTTCATTTGCATAACTTATCACTGGCGATCTACCTTTACTTAACTCGTTATTGCTCAACGAATCGGTCCTTCGCCAAACGAACGACGTACAGAGCATTAAAAACGTTCGCCTGCTGGCATAAAACGTTACCTGTCAAATACAAGACACTGGCTAAATTACTTGGAATCAAAGTTAAAGCCTGCTGTCTGAAAACGTTATCTGTTAAATATAAGACATTGGTTAAATTACTTGGAATCAAAGTTAAATCCTGCTGGCTGGAAACGTTATCTGTTAAATATAAGACATTGGCTAAATTACTTGGAATCAAAGTTAAATCCTGCTGGCTGAAAACGTTATCTGTTAAATTGGTTAAATTGGCTAAATCACTTGAATCCATATTTAAAAAGGCCAAGTTGTAAAACCCCATCTCTTCAGTTTTTTTTCCCCTCCTAACTGAACAGAAGGAAATGTGTTTACTAAGTTATAATAAAAACTTCATTTATTGTCATGTTAATAGATAATGTTAAGTCATGGCTTTGAAGTTCAAGAAAACAACTTTCAAATTGTTTGCACCACATTCACGTCCAGAAAAGTTTTATAAACTTCTAGCCCAGAAATTTTAATAGTTTACACAGAATTTATTCAGTTAGTAAGAAACTGGATATTATTTACGATGAACATCCTGGAGAGACAGGAACTTTGGACTTAATATGTAAAATTTTAAATGAAATGATCATAATTAGAATAGTTTATTGAAGCTGTCTGAGGCTAAGCTTGTCTACATCCAAGTACGTACGGATTAACCAAGACTGACATGACACAAGGATAAAAAATCGAGCTTCTTTAAAAAGGATAACCTTTAATAAAATTCTGTTTATTGGAGTCATATGGCTACTGGACGTTTTATCCAAATCACGAGCAGAGACATCACTTTGTCTCATCTTTCACAGCGAGAGGGCGCTGAACCCAAGAAGGGGAGAGTTTCAGCGTGTTCCGATTATTAGTCATTTGAGGTTGAGGTAACTTTTTAGTTTCTTTATACTAACATGTCTTACTGTGCTCACTGCCCTGCCCCACGTACTACGTGTATTTAACGTGAGCAACATCATCTTTCTGTAACAACGAGGTACAGTCTATTCACTGCCCTGCTCCAAGAACTATTGTATATAACGTGAACAACGCCCGCTTTCTGTAACAAAGAGACACTGTCTATTCACTGCCGTGCCCCACGAACTATTAGATCGTCAAGAAATAAATGTCGCGTTTTGGAACACTTTCATCAACCATCCCCCAAATAACGTACATCACGTACAATAGTTAAACGAACCGCCTAAACGTCACGTTAGTGTAGTCTATATAATATGTAAAGTTTAGTATACTCTAATCTGTTATAGTGATGGCACACGACGAGACACACATTCGGCATGTAATGATGTTTGAATACAAGAAAGGAAACAACGCCTCTGTAACCACAAAGAATATCAAAGAAATTTATGGAAATGTTTTGAACGTTCGTAAGTATCAACGATGGTTCAGCAAATTTCGTTCAGGATACTTTAGCCTTAAAAACTGTGATGGCAGGGGCCGACATGTTAGAATTGATATAGATGCTCTGAAGACGCTTGTCGAGTCTAACTCGTGAAGTGGTCCTGAATTTGCATGTCTCTCATGAAACAATACGTACACATCTAAGGAATATGGGAAACTCTATAAAGAAGGCGGTTTGGGTGCCTCACGAACTCTTCGATGATCACTGTTTCCAACATATGAACGTTGCTTCGTCTCTTCTGGCGCGTAATGAGTGTGAACCATTTTTAGACAGAATTGAAAGCGGTGATAAAAAAT